TGTGACATTCACCTACATAACATGCTTATACATTCTTCAGCCTATCGTTCTCGAGAACTCATATCAGAGTAGTTACCAATCAGATGTTTAGTAAATGACCTCTGCAGGTGCTCCACAGCAATTCTGTTACGCTTTCTCATATTGCCGTATATTATGCTGAAGTATTCGAGGATGGGGCGAGTGAGTAGCTTGAAAAGCTTAACTTTAGCACTAGTTGTGTTTATTTTGTTTGATATATTGAACATAGACTGTCTGGCACGTGTTACTTGGTATTGGGCTTGTTCGGAAAAATTGAAGGTAGACGAGTACCTAATGCCAGGATCTCGCGTGGACAACTGTGTAGGGACGCGTTCATTGTTTAGGGTCATAGATCCTTCGGGGATGCAGCAGCCGTAAGACTTGATGCTTGATTTCTTAGCCGAGAGGTTCATCACCATGACTCAAGGGAATGCATTTCATCATGAATGAGCAGTAATGTCACGTGAAGCTCGTCACGCCGAAACTTATGGACTATTTTGATATCGTCAGCAAATAAAAATGATGTATCATGTTTTACAGATATGGTGATGTCATTGATGTAGAGCAAAAAGTGTAAGGGGCCAAGCACGCTCTTTGAATAACTCCACTGATGATTGAGCATGGGGAAGAGCGATAATCACCTAAAGTGACTACCTGATGACGATCACTCAGGTATGACAATAGTCAACCTAGTAATGGGTCCCGGATCCCAAAGTTCTTCAACTTTTGTAACAGTCGCTTGTGCGGTACTCGGTCGCACGCTTGGTGTATGTCAAGAAATAAGATTAATACTGCATACCCGGAAGCAATTGATACTGAAATGTGAATAAGGTAATGCAGATGACAGGTACTGCACGATCGTTTAATGAGAAAACCATGCTGCAAATTGTTGGTCAGGCCAATAGAAACGACAAACTTCATCATCTCTATACTGACAAGCTTTTCAAATAGCCGAGCGATTATCGGAGTGTAGTGGATTGGTCGGTAGTTATCAATCGTTAGTTTGAGACCTTCTTTATGCCGAGGCATAATAAAGGAGGTTATCCATTGGTCTGGAAAGTGACCAGATTCCAGTGATAGAGTGAACATGCTCATCAGTAGCAATGGTATATCAGGTCCTCCTAGTTTAATGGTGATTGGTAAAATGCCATCAGATCCCAGCTTGGAAGATGGCCTGATTGATTTGATAACTTAATGGATAGCGTTGAGCGAGATATCGACTCTGCTTAAGAGGTTTGTGTCTGTGAGCTCTGTACACACAGGCCCCGGGTCAACTTTGCGACTAATGGTAGTGGCAAAATAGTCGCTGAATGCTTCACAGATTTCAGCTGGGTCATTGAGTAAGTGACCCTCATCATCAATAATTGCGGTTATTAGAAGAGAGCGGTCACTGGTTCTACGATGCAGTATTTTGACAAGCTACCTTTCTTTCCAGCTTGTCCGTAGAGCTGTATGTTCTTCATTTCTTCCCCGTGCTGACTGCGTGTGTTTGACTCTGGTGGTAAATTCATGCATTTGTAAGACAAGTGAAAAGTCATGGGTCCTTCCGTATCTTGCGGCTAACTTTTTGGTTTTCTTGCTGATTAAGTGCTCGACGGAATGTTTGGAGACATGAGGGGTATGAACACATTGTGGAGTAAAGAGGGCTATAGCGTGATGAATTTGTGTATAGAACTGCTCCACAGCGGTGTACACACTGATAGAGAGAAAAAAGCATCCCAGTCGGAGAAACGAATGAACTGCTGAAAGAATTGCCAGTTTATCTTATGGGTTGCAACTGGCGTTGTAGAGGCGGGTTTAGTGACCGTTTTAATCTGGAAACTGAGTCGAATCATGTTATGGTCGCTGCCAGGGAGAGTGTTTAAGATATAGAAACTTGTGTAGATAGCTTGTGGGGTAGATCAGTGAAAGCTACAGGAAAACTGTCTGGCCGATATAGGGCTAGCTTCAAATTACAGCCGGTTGTTTGTGACTACCTGTTTGGTTGGAGCTTTATTTCTCACATTAGGTCCACTGTCCCCATGTTCTTAGTTATGGATGTTCTTAGTGGGTGCACTTGGTTACGGGTACATGATAGCGAGGTACTGATTCAACTGAATTCGCCGCTGCTGTGGATGATCTTGACAACGTTGGAATTAATCATACGGGATATATAACCTACACTGTAGATAATACACTTCGAAATGTGTGATTGTAATACCACACTTAATGTATTATTGGCGCATGACTCTTGCCCTCCAGAAAACGATTGCTCTTGTAATACAAGCCCTCGGGTATCCGATTTGCGTTTTGAAATATTCCGTGATTACGGATACGTAATCGGTTCCAAGCTTATTCAAAGACACGGTAAACACAATGTTCTAGTATCCTGCCTATACAGTAGTTCTTTCAGCCTGATACGGGAGCTAAACTACTAACCATATGTACACTGGCTATCCAACAAGCATTTTGCAGAGGTAGTGAAACTTAGCTCTCAACTACTGTATTTTAACGCCTGATGAGTTGTTGCGTCGAGGCCAGGGAAGCAAGCTGACTACTGGGGTTATTGCTTATTTAAGCGAAATCGGGGTTTGCCGATACACGGTTCTAAAAGCTATCCCTAAGGTTTGTGACACGTAATCGGACGCAAATGATGATAGGTTGAAGTTATTTAGCTAACCCTCTATTTCTTTGCAATCGTATGTTCATTCGCATTCCCTCGTTTGTCACGTTTTCCCTATCCTTTCTGAATTTGTATCATTGCGCTTCTTGCTTATGCGTATTCGGGAATTATTGTGTGCTTGGTCTGCTAACCAGTAATTAGCAGAATACTACAAAGCAAGGAATCAGGTTGCAATCGTTGCTAATGGAGCAAAATTCTTAAGGCTGGCAAATCAACTCATTTTTCCGTCACTATTGATCAACATATCACGCATGTTTAGCCTCTGTAATCATTAGTAAGTATGTGCATATACAAGTTTCGGCTGATAACCGGTTGAGTTGAATTAGAGAGAGAGAGATAGCTTGTGTACGTACGAATCACGCACACATACAGGGCTAGTTGAATGCGGATGATAGCATTTAGATCGTGGAATCTAGACTACGAAGAGTGCATGGAGGTAACAATGGATTCAGAGGAGTTAACTGCCTCCCACTTACAAGTTCAACTCAAGTCAATAGAGGCTTTATGTACCAGAGTGGGTGAATTTTCAGCATGTTACAATAAGTACCGTGGATGGACAAAATATCAACGTTAAAAATGTATATCGTACAGATGGTAAAATGTCATGGGATGCACAGGTGTCATTCAAATAAACGGTCCTGTACGAGCAGGTAAAAATGTCCCTTGCTGAAATAAATCAATGGCATTTGTTTCCTGTTGAAGGAACGTTGTTGGAGCCCACTTGGTCAATCGGGACGATGATTCTTCAAGTTATGAAAAGGCCTTTTGATAACTTTGCGCGTAGCACGCGCAGTACCTCAAAGTTCTTTTACAAAATATTAATGCAGTACAGCGCTAGTAACCTTGAAATAGTGTCACCAAAGAAAATGTTGACAATATTTGGTGAAAAGGAAGCTGCGTTAGAAAAAGTAAATACGATGCCCCATGAAGAGGTAACGGCCGATTTAAAGCCCCCGGGCAATAAGCTTAAGGTGGGTGACTTAAGGATGAGCTGGCGTTACTTCAACGCTACCTACATTTGTACATATTTACTTCAAGATGCCATGAAAGTGTTATGCTGTTGACAAAATCTAAAGAATTATATACTGGGCACGTACCATGAAAATATGTGACATACAAATGTGGACATTTTCCGTGGTATTGCTTCTGTATTGCATGGCAGACTATGAGGAATTCACTGACAGTTCAAAAAGTAAGAAACATAGCTTATACATTTGTCGCGCATAAACAAACCTCCAACCTGTCTAAATCCATTAACGTCCTCGGTGAAGGCATGCCCAGCTTGTTGCGCAGCTTCGAGCCAAGCTTGGTGAAGCGGGTGATTGGTTTTACCTCGGGACACATGCAGTGGACCGTCTCCGCCTCGATACTCATCTGGGCCGAGCTCATGAGTCTGGGAACGACGGAAATACGGCAAACAGTTTGCATAATTCCAACCTGGAAAACGTACAAACAAATTAGTCACCGGACCATTTTGTCCTGAAAGTGCGCATCTTAACCAGTCGTGCTTGCAAATGAAATGGTAAAAGGAATCTCATACTGTCAGCGGTGTATCATTTATGCGTTTGTTCAAGGCTAATGTGCAAGCTAATGCATTTGAGGCATGCTATGTGAAGTAAGCAAGTATAAAGTACAGAGCTAGAAATGTGAAGCAGCTGGATACCCATTTGCGCCAACGGCGACAAGGGTCATGGGTATTGTGTATTGTGATACTCTTGTTTAGAGCAGAGGTGTGAGTTCCCTCGGATTATATAAATACACGTAATTTGCAGACAAATAATACGTAATGATCCTGAGATGCATACACCGTATGTTATCGTGCTTTCACGTCCTCAAGTATGTACAAATCGCATCAGAAGCAAAAAATACATGTGACATGTAGCCACAAATTGCAACATATCCGGGTTTCATAAAGCCTGGTGTGCTTTTAGACAAACATAAAACAGGTGCACCGTCAATCGACACCGGACAAGTGATTGCAGATGGAACCCACAGGGCACAATACGTTGCGTAGGCACATATGATGAAAATCACCCAAACAGGGTCACATTCATCGAGACGATGGAAAAACGGCGGAAACACAAGGGCTAGATGATATGGCAGTATCCACCACTGTCTGTTCATCTCACTGTGCAGCTTGTGGAGCACAGCTAGCTGTGTTATTTTCTAGGGTGTTAGCTATGCGTGCTCTTCAATAGTCAAGATGTACACACCCACACCTTGGTTCAACCTGCAGAGCCGAAACAGCTGCCTACAGTCAACTCAAGTCAGGAAATTGCATTGTGCACACTAGGCAGGCGAATATTCAGCCACATGATGTGCACAGATTACTAGCCATCCTCTGAAAGTTCACCGAAATTGTGCAAATTTATCTATCAAATTGGTTTTCTACTAGATGTTTCCACGTGCTTTGGCTTGGCATGCTGTGGGACAATTATACTGAATCCAAACAACATCGTGTCTAGCCACAAGCGCTGAGTCGACCAGACTCCATTGCTAGTACGCTACCACGACGTTTGGCCGAGCTCAACTCGCCTACTGGAATACAACTATCCCCACGCCCAGTTGAACAGGCAGTGGCACTCTGCACACTAAGGAATTCGAAGTGAGCGTCCCTCTGCACCAGGGTGTTCCATTTAAACAACACAAACCCACCATGGTCATGCCTGCATAGACCTACCTTGCGTTGTCGAAAATAAGCAGTTTATTTTATCTAATTCTTTATACCTCTTGTGTAAGTTCTGATCAATCTTTAACCATTGAATCACGTTTGGTGGGTGTGACAGTTGTGTGTATTTTCCGGTTGGATCACGGAAGTTCCGTGTCCCACTGCCCAAGCGAATTGTCCGACTCATGTGGTAGCTTCGCACCTGTGCTTAGATGGGGACACGTTGGTTCCCGAAAACCTTGAGTAAACAAAGGAAGACCACTCTGCTACCGGGGTCTTACAGTACATCATTCCTTGTCAGAGAGCGCAAGTAACTCTAAACGTAAGAGGGAGACAACATCAAACTGGCTTAGTAACTGAACGATCCCATTGCTAATGGCAAAACGATCATGGGAAGTTCACACACTAAGCAGACAGGTAAATTACTAACTGAATCGCCTGCGTTACAAATGGGCTTACTCACTGGTTAACTTCTTACACCCGTTTTATATACGACTGATATTGGCGCCTTAAAATTTCGAACACCGCAAAACGGACGGTTATTTGAGAACACTAGTAGAGAATACACATGCAAGCGGTCTAAGCATATGTATCGGTAAAACAAGTCAGAACATAACGGTAATAAAGAGGTCAAGCACACACAGACTATATGCTGTACGCCGTATATGCGTGGATAGAAGGCAACGAAAGAACAAGGTACTCAAACCCCATTCGCCCCAAACTAAGGTGGCTGTTGTTGGAAAAATTAAGTGATAACACAGTTTAAAGTATACTGCTGAATAACAGTAAGCCTGACAAATAGCTTACGATGAATTTCGGATAATAAAGTAGTCACCTGGAAACAACTCGTTTCGCTAATCCGGAGACGTTCCAAATGTGCACTCTTCTAGTTGTCCACTAAAAAAACACGAAATGACTAATCGTTTGACCTGAACCTGCCATCAGATTGGAGCCATAACCAAAAATTAGCAAGGGCTTTGCCCGCCTTTACCCTCACCTGTTCATGTTGGATGACAGATAGAGCTGATTTACTATGTATTAGACTGCAGGTCGAAGTGAGTTTAAAGACAAAATGAAGAAACCACATTAGACTCCAGTTGATGGGGTCCACCAAATTTAGATTATACCAGGCAAGTTATTAAGGGCGATTTGTAGTGTTGACTACTAGCAAAGATAAGACTTTATAAATGTACTCGACGTCTACTTAAAAGTGCACTTTGTTCACGGCTTCCCAAATTGTGAAGTGTTGGAGTCTGGCGTTTGATGACTAAGTACTCATAAATCAGCCTGCAAGCCAAGAAGACACCCTAAAACTGATTACCGTGCGACAGTGCTGCTGATTGTTCGCGTTTTTAGATAATACCAAACATCGCACGAATTAAGACCCAGGCAATCAGTCACCAAGACTCAAAGTATGGACTGCGTTGCGACAAATCGTATGAAAATGGGTTAAATTCAAAAGACCACAACAACTCAGAGGCGCTTTAATAGATTTGCACTGTTGTTGTGAATGCATTTATCGTTAGAGCGAAGTTTTTCGAATCTGAAACGGGAGACAATACAGGGAACATGGCACCCTACATGAAAACTCACCAATGGCGCCTTCGCGTTCCCATCGGTCGTAATCCATAGGATGTCCTCGAATATACACCATGGCATTCAGAGATGAACTACCACCAAGTACACGACCACGCGGCCAGTACATAATACGATTGTTCATATGTACTTGTGGAACAGTGTGATAGAACCAGTTATATCTGAACAAGAAGATTGAGAGTAGTGGGGGTGAGAATATAGGGAGGAAATCACACTTCATGACGGTTTACTTGGTAGAATTTAGCAGCAGTTGCATTTAGCAGCCTTAAATCTCACTGTGATGTATGGTAATGTTCGTCCCATAGTTGACACTGCGGGTTACACATTTCACATTCAGTGCTTCCCTAGTTTCTATTTTTGTGGAAGGTGCATACAGTGAACATAATGGAGTTAGATATGTGAAGTATAGGTGCAATCGGAGCAGAAAAACAGATGCCCAATACGTTGTGAAAGCGTCACTTTATAGCTTTTAGGAAAACCAACATGATGGAACCTAGCCTGAACTTTTACCGAAAAACAACTTACGGGCAGTTTGTGGCGTAGTGTGGGGACCAAGGTGCCTACTGATTGGGTATTAGTTCAAGAAGTGGTCCAAAAAGTGTAGTTAATTCATATGATTAATTTCCAATTCTTTAAAATTGACCATTCAAGAATGTGAGCATTTTCTTGCGTACAGCGGTTTGGAATCCTTTGGTGTACCAATAACTACCGATTTGTTACTAACGGAGCAAAGGGCGCTCAACACAAGGCTGTCAGTTTAGGAGCTGCCTCGACTAGGAAACAGGCTGGGGGAAAATATATCCCGTAAACCACTGGTTTCTGCCAAGGTGGCTATTTAGCTTTTATGCCCTCAACCGTTGTAGTGGTCCACCTTAATTTTGGGCTGGATTGGAAAAATACATGTTTCGCTTGCTGTTTAGTTCGAACACATTTTATCGTGAACAGGGCGTGGGCTGTCGCAATCATCTCGTTATACGCGAAGCGTCGCTCCACAGTCAAAGTTAATTATGGGCTAAGTATTAGCAAACGAACTGAATAAACTCTGTGTAAGCGCTCCTGAGGACGAAGTGCAGCGGCTGCAAGAATAGTGTGGTTGAGTTTACATCCAGCTAACATCGTTCGCTCAGCAGCTTAGGTATGCGGTTGCGAACTGACAATGCATAGTGGAGATGAGCAGCCTTGTACATATAACAGTAAACGGGGGCAATGCACCATGTCATGATCATCTCCCGGCACCTCATCCACCCACGGTTTGGTAAATATTATAAGAGGATTCAGTTTCATCCTCTTCCCTACCGATTGGGATAAAGTACCCAGCTTCCTCTCTTGAACTGCAGAAATGGGAGATGAAGATCCAGAGACTATTAAAGAAAATCGGTTGATGTAGCGGATCATTTGCGAGGGTCGTCCTCACAGTCTGT